CCCGGGGCGGAAGGGTAGGTGGGGTGTTGGGGGCGATGGGGGGTAACTCTGGGGTGGAAGGGTAGGTGGGGGCCACGGTGGGGGTTCAGGGGGGGATAACCCTGGGGTGGAAGGGTAGCTGGGGGCCACGGTGGGTGTTCAGGGGGGTAACCCCGGGCAGGAAGGGTAGGTGGGGGCCGCGGTGGGGGGACAGAGTGGGGGGTAACCCCGGGGTGGAAGGGTAGGTGGGGGCTGTGGTGGGAGGACAGGGGAGTAACCTCGGGGTGGAAGGGTAGTTGGGGGGGAACCCCGGGGCGGAAGGGTAGGTGGGGTGTTGGGGGCGATGGGGGGTAACTCTGGGGTGGAAGGGTAGGTGGGGGCCACGGTGGGGGTTCAGGGGGGGATAACCCCGGGGTGGAAGGGTAGCTGGGGGCCGTGGTGGGGAGACGATGGGGGTAAACCCGGGGCGGAAGGGTAGGTGGGGGTGGGGCGCAGCGGGACACCGTGGAGTGCTCTGCACCTCGGGGTGATGAGCTGCACTCCGCACGTGTCCGTCTCCCGTGTTCACGTGGTCACGGGAGGGTCGGGGGAGCACTGAGCAGGCGGTCAGGACCAGGAGACACAGGCACCCCGTGGCACTCACGGGCTCTGTGCCGTTGGGGCCACGGCGTCCGGTGGCGGGTCTGACCCGCGTCCGGCCCCCGGGACGCTGCCCAGACCCCGAGCACCTCTGGATCGGACTTCCCGCCGTGCCCGGCCGCGCCCTGCTCGCCTGCCACGCGGCTGTCCCACGGCTGAGTCACGAGGGGGCCGCCCGCCGACGTGGCCGACGGCGTGCTGTCTCCCCAGGCCCCAGCAGGATTTACAAGGAGGACGACGCGGACGAGCTCCACGAGCTGTTCCACCGGAGGAACATGCTGGCCGTGTTCTGCAAGCTTGTCGTCTACAACGTGCTGGACTTGAGCGCGGCCGCCGAAATCTACCAGTTCTACCTGAAGGTGCCCGCGCGGCCTTCCTGCCCCCCCCGCCCCCCCCCCCCCCCGCCGGGCTCCCCCGCCCACTGCTTTCCTGCGCAAGACACAGAGTCGGGGTGACGGATTCCAAACGGATGGAGAGCACGGGTGGCCGCTGCCCAGTCTTACGGACGCACGGTTCTCGTGGCCCCCACCACTAACTGCGGACGAGCCCAGTGCAGCGCGCTTGGGGACCGCGTCCCCGTTAGCATCACATGTGCGTTTTTGTAGCGCTGTCGTCTCTCCCCACACCTGACGTCTAGCGGGTTTCTTCACTCGGGACATCACGTGCTGTTTTTTTTTTTTAATTTTTTTTTTTCAACGTTTATTTATTTTTGGGACAGAGAGAGACAGAGCATGAACGGGGGAGGGGCAGAGAGAGAGGGAGACACAGAATCGGAAACAGGCTCCAGGCTCTGAGCCATCAGCCCAGAGCCCGACGCGGGGCTCGAACTCACGCAAGATCACGGGAGATCACGCGAGATCGCGACCTGGCTGAAGTCGGACGCTTAACCGACTGCGCCACCCAGGCGCCCCTCGTGCTGTCTTTTAAAGCCGTTCCCTCAGTTTCGTGCTTTCGTCACTACCGAGACCGCGTGCAGCCGATCTTGGGACGGCAGGGTCCTGTGGCCGTGCGTCTGCGGGCTGGCGCAGTCGTGGCAGGGGCACGTCACGGTGGCTCCAAGAGGCCTCGCTCCCTTGCTCCCGGCCCTCCATGCCCGGTGGCCCTGCCCTCCCCACGGAAGAAGCGTCCCTGAGGGAGGGGCCCAGCCAGTCCTGGGAGTGCAGCTAGCCCCGGGACCTTGATGCCTGATGGCTTCGGCTTCCCAGGTCCTGTGGACGCGCTCCCACCCGCCGGCCCTGGCGCGGGGCCTGGTTGGTGCTGAGTGGCCGGCGGGATCCACGTCCGCCTGGGTCCTGGGGTTCGAGCTCCGTGGCTGCCCTTCGGGTTCGCAACGTCGGGACACGGTGTGGTAACGCGTCTGTGCTTGCCGCGTCCCTGTGCTGACGCACGCCTGTCTTCGCCCTCAGCATTACCATCACTTTGGTGACATCATCAAGGAGACCATGACCAGGACGAGACAGAACGACAGGCTTCGCAACGCGCTGTCCCTGCTCCTGTGCCTGCAGCAGGTGAGCGGTCTGTTCCGGAAGGTCGGGCGGCGCTCTGTGGCCGCTCCCCACGACACCAGGCCCCGTCGCCGGGGCCTGGAGGGGCGGGCGCCCTCGGGGACGCGCTGGCCGTGGGCACCGCTGCCCTCTCCTCGGGAGTCCTGCACCCCCGTCAGTGGCCTGTGAGCAGCTGCCGGAGGGGATGGCACGTGCTGGCGGCTGGGTCGTCCCACGCCCCACGGACAGACAGGGCGGCTGAAACGTCAGACCCTTCTCCTTCCTGGTTCTGGAGGCTGCGGCCTGAGACCAGGGTGCCAGCAGGAGGGGACACCGGGGTCAGGTTCTGGGGAGGCCTCTGGAGGGCCACACACGGTCCCCTCTGCCGTGTCCCCACGTGGCTGTGGGCGGAGGGCAGGAAGCTCTAGGGACACCTTCGAGAGCACTAACGCACTGCGTGGGCCCCGCCGTCCTGCCCTGATCTGCTCCCCGCCAGCTGCCAGGGCCCCCTCGGTGGTCAGGCTTGCGCACGTGGATTCGGGGGACTGATTCCCCCACGGTTGGCTTCCGCGGTCGGCCCCACCTCAGGGTCGTGGGACCTTTGTGTCGGGTTCCTCTGCTGTTCGAGGACGGGAGGACAAAGGAGGATGCGGTCACAGGGTGTTGCGGGGACACATGGCAGGTGGACGCATGTGCCCACGGCTTCCTAGACGGAGGGGCGTCACCGCGTCGTGGGGGTCAGGGGGCCGCCGTGCCCCAGTGTTGGGCTGGATTGTCCCCAGGGGGGTTCCACGTGTGTCCTCGCGCAGTGAACTGGGGGCGGGGTGTCCCTGACCCTCCGGGTGGGCGTCACCCCCAGCTCCGTCCACTGAACCTCAGGATGGGCGTCCCTCTGTCATGACATGGCGTGAGAGGGCGTCCGCATCTATTCTTCCATCCCGTGGTGGTCGCCTTACCCACACACGTGGCCCCTGTGGCCGTGAAGCGTGGCTTGTTCCGTGCTCTGTTCTGCTTTTCACACGGGTGTGTCTGCCTCTCGTGTCACAACGGGCAAGGACGGGAGGGTGTGGCAGAGCCAGTGTTGACTTACAGGCCGGCAGGGTCTCTGGTGGACAGCCTGCGTGGCGGTTTCCCGGCACGTGGCCTCTGTTTCCGGGTTCTGGAGCGTGAGCGCCTTGTGGACGTTCGCCCCGAGGCCTCCCTTTACCTCTGATGCTTTCCTGCCATTGGTTCTTCCTCGGGAAGCGGCCTTGTTCCTCCCGTTGTGGGACGGGTCTCACGTGACCTGTTCGGATGACCCACCGATGCCCCAGGGCACGCGCGGAACGTTGGCGGGCACGTCCCCGCCACGTCAGGGCCCGCTCCGCGTGTGCCTCCTCGGACTGGGAGCATCTTTCTCGCTCCTGGTTTTCTGTTCAGTCGGCCTCCGGGGCAGGCCCGGGGAGCTGCTGCTGAGCAGATGTGACGTTGCGGACTGGGGTGACCGCCGGATGGTGCGGGGACCCCGGATCCCCGTGTGGGCAGTCACCGGTGCTCCCCTGGCACCCTGGCCTCGGCGTGGCTCCCCGCAGGAGCCCCCGCCCCTGTCCTCTGCGGAAGAGGTCATCGGCGAGCGCGGCACTGTCGTCCGGGACCCGGTCGTCACGGGCACTCGCTCAGCTCTGGGCGGGGGCTGCAGGTCCAGGAGACGCCTCTCTGGATCTCTTGAGCCTCCGACCCCGGGGGCGGGGGCTGCCTGTGCCAGACAGGGGGCCTCCCTGAGGCGCTGGGGGGGCGTGGGGAGGGCCCAGTCAGCTCTCAGGGGTCCCGGCCCCTCTGCTGGCAGGGCTGACCCTCCGGCAGAGATGCCTGGTGCACAGACCTGTCCTGCACCCCTCGGTTCTCCGGCCTCGACAGGCTCTATGCAGGGCGGGCCGCCCCGGCCCGCTGCCTGCTGCACCCGGAAGGTGCTGGCAAGGGCGTGGCCACCCGACCTTCAGAAAACGCAGACCCCACCGATGATAGGATCCAGACCCTGGACACGGGGCTCCTCCAACACTGTGGATGCAGTGTTCGCCCCCCACTCAGGCACACGGCCCCCCCCCACTCAGGCACACAGTCCCCCCCAGACCCTGGGAAACAGGCTGCCCCCCCTGCCCCCCTACTCAGGCACACCAGCCCCCAGATCTCAGACACAGCCTGCCCCCTCGACACCCCTACTCAGGCACACGGCCCCCCCCAGACCCTGGGACACAGGCTGCCCCCCCCACTCAGGCACA